GCACCCACTATCACCAGATAAAGAAACAGATCTTAAGATGGTTTAAAAAAAACTTAGTTTGATAGCATTCTGTCTGTCAAGAAATCACTTATCAATAGTTGTGGTTGTGAAAGCCTCATTTCTTTATTGTTTTATCATTATGGTCCCCACTTCCCTATTGTTTATCTGTATGGTCTCTATCTGGTTCTTTAATTGTTTGTCTGCTGTATAATTAGTTTGACTTGGTGTAAGTTAATTAAGGTAGTGGGATATAATTGGTTAGAGAATTTTGTTACACTATGTTAGGATTGGTTAGTAGAATTTTAGTATAATAATTGGTTAAGGTATAACTAAAAAGGACTCAAATGTCACTATATAAACTGGGGTCCAAAAGGAAGTTCTTTGGGAACCAACTCCAGGACACAGCCTCAAAGATCAGAGCTGCCAGTGAAGAAACTGGAGTCCTCCAGATGGACCTGATCCTGACTGGCCATCAAGAAAAATTCATCTGTCTTATTGGGAGTGATGAGCACTGTATGTGTAGCGTGTGCAGTCTATTTTTGGTGATGGTTAATAAATAGAGGTTATGTAGTAAATTACTGTGTAAGGTTCTTTCACTGGTAAAAGGTCCTGCAGACCTGCAGAAGCAGTATACACTCAGAGCCCTACGTATTGGGAAAGGGTGTGGGTACTTACATTGACCAGGTTAGTTACACCCTGAGCCCTATGGATTGGGTAAGGGTAGGTGCTTTTTGAGGAGCCCTACAGACTGGGAAAAGGTGGGGTGCCCTAATGTGTGCAGGTAACACATAGGCCACATCCCCACCCCCCTGCAAACCCTCTGTAGCCTAGGCTTAGCTACTACAATCCTGCCATGTCCTCACCAAGCAGTGGTTACCACAGTCACGCCCTTGCCAAGTGACTCCTGGGCCTGGTAAATTGCCATGGTAACAATGCACCTTCTTGAGGCATCATTGGCTATACCAAGAGTTGGGCCTCATGCAGCACTACTACCTTCATCAAACGTTCCAGTGTTGCATTTTGCTACTGGAGAGAATGAGTTGTGGCATTTGATCATCCTTATACTTCTATAGATTATCCTTACACTTCTACAGATCTCTCAGTTCAATAAAAGTGCATATGCAACAATGTATTGCGTGGCTGCTGGAAGTTCTTGGTTCTGCCTGGCTTGCCTGCTGATTAGCTCCCCCAGTCCCCTGGAGATCAGATGAAAGGAATCCACATCACACGGGAAATTGGTCTGGAAGTCTTAGTGTGGATGGGGATAGCAGCGGATGCTGGGCCTGGCTTTCTGCAGCCAGAATCTACATTGCTGAATGGGTGACCGAGTGCATTGTTCCCACGCTGCATCACATGTGATGCAAACTCCACATGAAGTCACACCTCTAAAAGAGGGGCAGGCTCTGTCAAACACCTGAAGTTACACCTATTACCCAGCTGGAGAGGAAAGGGGGCTATCCAAACACCAACACCACAAACAAACCCTTCTTGTGTCTTGCTTGCAGTCCCGGTTTGGCTTGTTTTCAGTCTAAGGAGACAAAATAACAATTGTTTCATAGGCCCAACCTTGATGTCTTTGATCCGTTCTCACTCAAGGGGAGTTTTAGTGGAGGAAAGACTAGGACTTCAGGGCCCAGAGCCAGAGGGGTTAAAACGTCTAAATCGCTGCATGGACACAATTTGTGTAAAATCAGCCAAGTTTTCCCAGGTGCAGACCTGCTGCCGGTAACTGTCCGCTGCAATGGTGCTGAAAGCAGGTCCCAGCTCCCCGTGCAGAGCCACTGCCCTATAGCCAGCACTGAACTATAGCTAGACATCACTTTTCTGGGTACCGAGTAACAGTCTGGAAAGTGGAAAGTAGAAACCACTATTACCCCAGTCCTAGGCCTCATTTGGGATCCCCAAGATTATTAACTATGCCAAGCACAAATCATGACCCAGTCTTTTTTTTATCTTGTACAAACAGTCCCCCCCAACACACACACATGCATATAAACACCTTCAAGCCCCAAACTAGCTTTATTGTAGCATTCAAATGCTCTTTTCTGCCTGCAGATGATTTAAGAGGGACGCTTTACCTATTGATTGGACACAGCTAGATCCCCCAGCATCCAAGTGAGTGAGAAATCTAACTATAAGGGAGTTAGCCGGGGCAGTAAGATCAGAAGCACTGCATTCATACTTTGGAATCTTTCCTCTCCTAATAAGATATTCATAAGATAAAGTAGCCAATACTCAGTTGACTGTACCAGAGTAGGAATTAGTCAGGAAGTGCAGTTTGTACTAGACCTAATACTCAGTTAATGCTGTAGCAGTGGAACTAGATTTAAAAGTCTCATCAATTAAACTAGCTCCCCTCACTTGAAAAGGGCTCCCGCCCGATTTTGAAGGGTAAAAAGACCTCCTCTGAATTAATCCAGTCCCTTTAAGCCTTCCCCCACCCCTCCCCGTTCTCTTTGTCGTGTGTGACCTGGTCTTGTTGTGTCTGGGCTAGATTGTTTTCCCAGGGTTAATCACCGTCCTCCAGGGAAGCTGGAGATACGTGGGTGCCATTAATATGGTGCATGGATCATCTCTGGAGTCCTTTCCAGCACTAGGGAAACGGAGCACACGCAGCCTCTGTGTGTGGATGTAATACAGAGAGCATCAGCTGCTCGCACGCTTTGCAGTTTGGAGGAGGCCCGCTCTGCTTTAGGGAATCACAAACCCTGCGCGGAGCCGTTCCCTTTGCTCCCCCATTTCCGCTCCGGTTTCACTCTCCCTCTGTGCCATTCCCGATCTCCTGCCGCGCCGGCTGCTGCTCGCTGGGCGAGGGCGGCCTGGCCCCTCCCGCAGGAAAAGTGGATTACGGCGGGTGCAATCAGGGCCGGTTTAATTCCCTGGAAACGGGCTGAAATGTGACCAGCTGCAAATGCCCCCGTTGCGCGGCGCCGGGATCCGGCTGGGAGAAGGGAAGGGCGGGGAGCCTCAGCGCAGATGCC